AAAGATCACAGCCAAATGTCAGCATAGCGGTCAACTCTTGCTTCATATTCGAGAGGTCCTGGTTTAAAATTTAGCCTGAAGACCACCTGTCATAAAAGTATCTTACATTTACCCTCAGTCCCTTCATAAACGAGTTGCCTCGGCCTTCGAAGAGAATGGCCACTCTGCACAGACACACGGTTACTCTAAAATATTCTACGCGATGATTAACTTGGCCAACATTTCATACATTTCACATCTCTAGTCATTATCAGCCATTACCTATTGCCTCAACTCCGCCTTTGTAAACAGCGCATGAAGAAAGGTCAACCAATAAATTATCTTTCTTCATCACACAAATCTTTCTCTCCAAAGCATGTGCTGTTGCCAAGAGGCAGCCATGCTGAGCCTCCAATGGATTTTTACTCTTCACAGAGCCTATCAGGTCCTGCACAGCTTCTTCGTATGCCGAATCACGAAGCCCGTGAGCAATGATAATTCCATACAAAAGCGCAGATGTCTCACGTATTTCTTCCTTTGCAGAAAATAAGAGTCCCTGCAAGATAGTAAATCCATTTATAAACCACTGACATTAACCCTCTAAAGCATGTACGTATTCTGTGATGCTGCGCTGTGTAGTCCAGTAGAAATTTACTGATATTTCTGAGGTGCTTGCTGCCTCCATCAGGGTAAACATTCAACAGACTACATGGTGAAACGTCACAGAATACAGCCATCTTCAATCTGGAACGAGGACATAACCTTAACCGCAAACAACGGATAATGTCCGGGAAATATTGTTACATCAAAACGCTTCAGGACACTTTCTCGTGATCCTACAGCACAGACGTCATCAAATCTGACTAGTTTGTGTGCAAGAAAATGAGAATGAAACAGAACGAGACAACTTATCAGGCGACATAGGAAACTCCAAAGTTATACTATATATACTTTACTTTAACTGTATTCAGAATAATCAGAACATTATTTGGCAATAATCCAGCCAGTAACGTAAATAAAAAAAAAATTTAGATGCGATTTCAAGGCCATTTGTTTCTAAAAACGGAAAAACATAAATTTCAAAACAAATAACCTCAATGGAAATTGCACAGTTTTCATCGATCAATCATACAAAATCTGCAGTTCTGTTAGCAACTCCCACCTCGTACGTCTGTACGACTCCTGCGTAAAAAATTTAAATACAAGGTGCCAAGGCGATGTCCGGCATTGTTTAGTTTCATAAAAATCGTTCCAAAAGCATCAAAACGTTATTAGAGATGTTCATGATTTTTGTTTTTGAAAGTAGCCTGGAAACCCTTTTGTGTATTTTTAGGTTTAAGTAGACATAAAAACAAGTAAAATTGATAACCTTGAACCAGCTGAGTTTATCAGTAAACTTTTCTGCTAGTAGGTCGGGCACACTGCCTAGTATTTCTAGAAGACAGGCCAGTGGTACGATACTCGGACTCGCTGTCAAAAGTTGGTGAATCAAGCTCAGGTACTGATCCAACGTCTCGCAGCCAGCCTGAGTTAGGCGGAGGTGACGCAAATATCTACTGATCAGCGGGGTAAACTGAGAAGGATGCTGGATAACTTCACGTTTCTTCAACGGCACATCAGCACTCCGGGCAAGACACAGGCGCAAATAAGTCAGCATCTGTAGTGGAAACAAATTCGATGAAGTAAACATCAATAAACAAGGAATTTTATGGTAATAATTCATGGAATGGATATTACAATTAAAAACGTAGTACTTTATATTCAGTTTCCATATTTTGATACCAAAGCATACACGGGGGGGGGGAAACTTTTACTATCAGACGAGCAGAAATACTGTACCTCCACGAAAGTGGGAGGGCTAAATGGTAGAGTGTGGTTCCCAACAACATGACGGGTAGCGGCACTCTGCATCCGAACCGTTGCTCGCTCCGCAAGATACCGTGCCATGTCGCAGAACTGCGGTAACATCAGTTGTATGTTCCCATTACTAGTAAGAGAACTTTTTTGTTTTTGTTGTTGTTCTTGGTTTTCTGCATTTCCACTCTTCTCTGATGTTCCACTCCTCTCAGGCTCTTCGTTTCTATGATTTACCCCATACAACGCTTTCAGAGCTTCAGTGAAAACCTCATCTTTACTGAAAGTACAAACGTTTTTACATTGTATGAATATTATATTGCGATCGTTGTAATGTAAAATGCAACTGATTTCTTTTTCCAACCCCACTGATTTACACGTAACATACAAAACATCAAGTAAAGGAAATTCCAAATGTTAACAAGACTTGTAATGTACTTAAAAATGGCATATTTAGAAGCTGTCAGCAGAGTAAATCTGACACATACTAAAAAATGGTAAGTGTCTGTAATTTTTATGATTTTTGTATTCTGTAGATTTTCAGCAATGTAAAAAAATTATAATTCAGCCCCTAGATACGGCACATAATTTATTATCACTATTATGTTCTCAAACCGATATATTGTCTTCTCTCTTTTGATTTTTGGATTTTAGATTCCTATTTGTCTTTCTATCTTACAAAATTTTTGTTGAAAAAACTTCTAGGACCTAGACAGTAGATGATATTAAAAAGGAACTTAAAAAATAGGCTATGAAGGTGTGGACCACGTGCATCTCGGTCAGAACCGAGGTGGGCTCTTGTCAACATGGTAATGAACCTTCGGGCTCAACAAAAGGTAAGTTGTTCAAATACCTGACGTTTCTTTTTTTACGTCGCTTTCACAGACGCTGTTTGCTGTTGTCTAAGAGTCTAATGAACACAGTTAAAACAAATATCAAGTATCTGAAGAGTAAGTCACTGGAAGCTATATTATAGAATCAAGTGGTTTCCATGTTCTACCTTACTTACTTCAAGGTCTCAACTCACCTGTCTCCACTAGCTAACAGCAGCAGATACCTCGATGGCGCGTGGTTCAACGGAAAAACAGACGCCGCGTATCTAACGGCAACAAACCTGGCCATTGGTTCACTTGACTCCACCTGATTTGCTAGTAAAGCCTGCATCATGATCTGACGTTGACTGCCCATCATAGTGCCACTGCTGTTACCAGACGCCTTAACACCGGAAAACTGTTTATCGTCTTCATCCAATCCGACACGAAAAGCTTCCACCATGCTAAGAAGAGCTTCCCGGACCGACATTCGAATATCCTGCTCTTCCTAGTAAAAAAAAAATAAAAACATCAAATATTTAATAAAATCTTGAAATGAAACGTAAAAATTATCATCAGCAACACCTAAATGAAGAATTGAAGTCCTTCATCTGGAATAATTAATTGGGGATCTTCAGGTGGTTCGCGTGGAACTCGAAGTCGAGTTCAACGGGTTCCACAGGTAACCGACTACATCTACACAGACCATTCTACCGAAATAGGTAAGCTGCCGAAGACATCGTGAAGTCGGCAACACAAAACATGTATACAAATTAGCAGTCATATCTCTTATTTTCAAACAACCACCTGACGATGACCAATTGAGGCCGAAACATGTAATGGATTCTTAACAAGCATTCAAACTATAACCAAAAATGTTTGCGTAGACAGAGTGTCAACCTAACAACGACCCAAGTAAATTGGTTCCTTATATTCTGTGATGCAGAAGTTTCACTGCACCTTACCTGCAACAAAGCTTCAAAGAATGTCTGCAACAATGCAAGGTCCTTATTCACTAAGTGAGGAACCCTACTGCCCAATTTTCCAGTAGCGCTGTACGCCAGCGTTTTCAATGCGTTATCATCATCAGCAATCAACTTGAGCAGCCCAGAAAGGAGCACTCCAGCGACTGGTGTCAGGCGCTGAACATTGGCACTGTAATTTTAACATTTTCTCAGTTAGGTTAAAATCCGTAATTCAAATACATGTACAGGTTAATACTCAAGGCAGTTTTTACATAAACTTCAGGACATGTTCCCTATCCATCAAATTCAGAAGATATTCAAATTATTATTAGCTAAACTAAGGCATAACACCAACTATCTTAACGGAGCTACAGCACTTCCTGAGATGCCAACGGCATGCGCACCCAATCAATAAATTTCCCTGCATTCTATGTAAAATTAAAACTCACAAAATCCCATCAATGGACCATACTCTGAGCCACATGAATCCAATCCTATTTCCTTAAGATACACTTTAATGTTATCTACCCATCTTTGTCTTGGTCCCCCAAATCAGCCCTTCTCATCGAGCTTGCAAACCAAAATTTTGTACGCACTTCTCATCACCCCAGTGTACAATCCCCCACCGCTGTCATTCAGTAACATTACACAAAAGCAAAGTGGCGACAAACATCTACCAACCCTAAAATTATAAGCATTGAAAACTGTAGAGCCATGTTCTTCAGCCTCGGATTTGTGTTGGTTCCATACAGCGAATCAAAAAACACCTGCAAATAAACAGAAGCCAAGTTAGAATTTTTTCGCTTTTGTCTCTTCACACACTTTACCATAAAATTTTGCAAACTGCATGGCTCAAAATCTGAAGCGGCAGATAACGCACTGTTGCGACCCGCCCGTTTCGGGCAGATTATATTTTTTTAAATGAGGAACGAGTCTGCATTTTCAGGAAACACTTTCACCTAAATTAGTTTCAAAAGCAAAGTTTACAACACAAGAGTTTCGCTCCAAAGTTACGATTTACCAACACGATAACAATATCTGTTAGGAGTGCCTTATCCAAAACTGTGTTTTTAAATACAAAGAAGAAACTACAAATGTATCCTTTGCTCCGAGTTATATAATACCCACCTCTGTCACTTAAATGAATTACATTTCCAACTCAGATACAACTTAAATTACGGAACTTCTAAACATAACTGATATCGGATTATATCAACGCAAACAACTCGCACTCAATTCGCAAAACACATTGAACCTTAACTGCGCCAGGAGAAGCTCTCGCCAAGCGTCCTTACTTGAATACAGGCTGGGAATATAAGTGCAGGTCCCCTTGATCTGCAGAGGTACGGCAGGATCTTGAGGCGTATGCGCGTGCTAGCCGGAGAACGATGATGCTCTGCCTTAATAGTACTCAGACGAGACTTCGTAGTCAACAGTTGTGTTCCCAAAAATAATGAGTACAGAGGCGCCGTTAGGCTCACGTTACCCCAGTCTAATAACCTATAACAAAATGTGTTACATTTTAGAAACGGGATAGGCCGTCACTGCCGTGAAACTTTCATCACGTTCTACAACTCTAAACCTCAATTGTTACACTTGAAACTAAAATATTAATGAAATAATTATACCCCATAAATTCTCGTAAACACTTTTGTTTCGCTCACAGTTCTCCGTTAATGATTAAGACTCCAGTTCTGTGTTTATATTCTGGGAACAACGGGGCAAACATTCTTTCTAAACATTCTCACCAATTCGCCAGACCAGTTATTCTACCAGCTCTTGCGGACTGGAACTGTCTCAAAATCCAAATGCCATAAAGTTGTTTACACAATTTTCTTAGCACTAAACTTTATGAGCGTCACATGCCAACTAAGTCTTTCCATCTATCTTTATGTCTTCCCACTTCTCAGATGTCTGTGTTTTCAAAAAGACAATTTATAAAACTATATAAGGTTATATAAACTGAAAGTTAACTAATTATGAACCTCTACGCTATCTGCAAATATTCTTACTGACCCGACAATTTTCTTCAGCTCCATATCTGCAGCGTTAGCAACGCTGAATCTCGTATCTGCAGCAGCCACTACCAAGTGACAAAGGATGTCGGAATCACTCATCACTCCACTTGCTAGGAACTTCACAACACCCAGCTTAGTCTGCAAAGAAAGCACACGATCAATTGTAAAACATATTTTGTGCCATTTATTCAAAGTTACGTCAAAGACTTGGAGAAAGACTTTCTGTATAAGGATACCAGTACGAAAGACCTAACTGCCGGTAACGCATTATTAAAACATCTTACATTTTTTGCACTTGAAACTGTGCCTTCAACTACACAGAGTCCCAAAAAAAGTATATAAACATTATAAAACAGAATATTAACCTTGTGCGTATACACCTTTTTGGGGCACCCGAGCTTCTGGGTCGAACGCCACGTAGCCTGGTAGAAATTTACCAACATTTCGGAGCCACCTCTCATAAATTTCTACCACACTACATGGCGATACAATCCAAAAAGACAGGCAGCTTCAAAAGGGCATATCATTACTATATCTTCTAATAACCTGTTCTAATTCTTCCGACGTCAATGGATTCCCAGCACTGACTCTCTTGAAGCTATATTCACTCATGCCAGGTGGAACAGGAAATGTACTTGCAGAATTGTTGCTTGTACCTTCTTGCTGACTGCTCTGAGCTTGATCCAGAAGTTGGTCCTGGTGCGTAGTTGCACTTGTAACACACGCGAATGGATCAATTTCAAGAAAATTAAGTTTGTACAACCAAATTTACCAAGCTGAGAAGGCAGCTGGAAATACTGAAGCATGGCCCATGCAAAGAAAGGGACACACGTGTAGAAAATCTAATTTTCAATCTGTGGAAAACCTTGCCGACTTGTTCCGAAGCGCTGAAAAGACGGTATCAGCCATGTTGCCACTCCATGGCTCAACATATTAACGTGAACAATTATTCTCATATGAAATACATTAAATCAGACCTAAGAAAAGTCTTGCAAATGAAACAAGTGCCAACCGTATCACTCTGAAACCACCTACATACAAGCTGAGAACTGAACAGCTGTGTAAAAATACCCAACAAGACATACCACATTCCCTTGATTTTAAGACGCCATCAACTGTAACAGGTTTCAGGAAAAAAAATGCTATATTGACGCATAGACACAATCAAATGTAAAATGCACACCAATTTCTGAAATTTTAGAATGCATAAAAAGTCTCTTAAAATCAAAGAAATGTGATTCCTCATTAAGTTCATCGACATACCACTAGAGCATCGAGATCAGCTGGCACGACTTCATATTTGTATAGGTCGAGCGAGACGTACTGGCACTTGCGCAAAGGACTGATCATGTTCATATGAGTACCGAGTAACCTAACGTACTTAATACAGCCAGATGACAAATGGCTTACCCATATGGAAGTAGCAGCATGTCCAGCATAAAGTCCGCCAGAAGCTTGAAAATGTGTGGGCGTTCATTAAGACCAAAAAGAACACTCCTCTTCTCAGGATCAGGTGGTACAGTAACGTGTCCAAGTACTGGCATTAAAATGAGTAAAAGGCTGTAGAAAAAGGGACCACAGATTCTATTAAAGTGTATTATGTTTTCTGGTTTGTAGATGGCATCAGTCTTCCAACGCAACCTAACCAGTTACCTCAGTTGTGATGCAATAACCATTGCACGTGGTAAGCCCCAAGGCAAAAATACGGTGTCCTTCCTCATTTTAATTCCAGAGACCTTCGTGTTGCGGTGCTTATGCGCAGGGACAATTTAACCTCACTTTATCTTTTTTTTATATAAAATTATCTGTGGTTTGTGCAACTTATTTAAAACTATCAAAACCATTATCTAGTCATAAATTTTAAAAATACATGCATAAAATTATATGTAAACCAAATAAACTTAGGATATGTTATCAAACTTTTCCTAAAGTATTAAGGCTAACAATTCACTCCATCCAGGGAACAATTAAATTTCACTAATCCGAGATATGAGGTTCTTACTCAAAATATGCATAAGGCAGTCTTGTAGGTGACTACCGATGTTTCAAGCACGCTGCCGCCATATTCAGAAGACCATCATTGACAACGTCCATCAACTCTTGTCAAATTCTTTACCAACATTACTTTGTCTCACCTGTCTTGATGTGACTGAGGCTTTCCTTCTAAGGCGTTCAGAACACACGGCACCAATTCTGCTTGTTTTGCCACCGGTAATCTTGGATATCCCAGTTTTATATAGATTATCGTGAAATTCTAGGGGAAAAATTTTTAGGAAACTGAAACATTAGTTTTATTTACATAACCATCACAAGTAAATCTCAATCGTGAATAGCAGCTATTTATATCACAAGCACTAGAACTATAGGAATACAATTTATTTTTTTACCCTGTAATTTAAGTGTATTTCAGTCACATGAAATATACTTTCTAAACATCAGATGTAAACTTACAGTAACAAATGAACTTGCGGCTGGATCCTGATACTGGAGAAGTAGGGCTTCCACTGGCAACTGCACCAAAGGACGGCTTTTGATTCGCTTGTTGATATGGACAAGTAATTCCATAACCTAAAAATATTAACCTTCGATAATGACCTTAATGCTTTAATAAATTCAACCCTTAATATATGAACATAATTTGTGCAAACACAACAATTCATATGGTTAAAATTCATAAAGCAAAAATAAAATTACCATTAATTTGAATGTAGAAAATCCTGACTGGTTCCTGACTCCCAGAAAAATATTTTCCCCGCGTCACAATAAAGAAAGTGTGGCGGCTAGTGGGGGTGATGCGATGCAGGAGGATTACCCTTAAAATTATATAGGGAAGTTCTGAGGCTTTCATAGGTGGAATGCAAGTATGGCAGAAACATGAGTAAGACAGTGTATGTGCGTTTCTGCAATATGATTTATATACCTTTTTCCTAACTCCATCTTGCTGGCTTGACAGTTTTAATAACACTGGTGGAAGAAACTTTGATATTGCACTCTGCAATTGTTCATCCGATTCTGCAGAACCAATGCGAAGAAACACACGTTCCAAGAGGGCTGAAAATTGAGGGGGAAAAAATTCATGTATGAGAAATCATGTCCTGTTATGATATGTATCAATTCGCTACCCCCAACCATAAATTCTCAATCCAAGCTATTCTAGTATTATTATTATTATTAATCATCCTAAAAGTGATTACTTTCAAAATTCCATTAATGACGTATTTGCTAGATTGAACAAACGTTCTGAAGCTTATACAAACTTACGTCAGATTTCTGACAATGCATAACTTCATGAAATTTTGTTCTAACAAAACATGCACAAACTTAAAAATGTTATAATAATAAAACTGAAGAAGTATTAACAACTAAATCTGCTGGCTTATTACCTGACAGTAACTTAATCTGGGAAAAGCAATCTGAATATATTGTCGCCATGAGGGCAGGCACACCAGCCTTGAAAATAGATACTTTGTAATTTGGTGCTTACTTCTATTCCACCATGTCAAATGGGGAAATTCAACAGACACCAAAAGAGGTTTCATTATCCAAATGAAAATTATTAGAATAATGGCACATGCAAAAAAAATTCACTTATAAAGAACTATTTATGAAATTTAAAATACTTCTACTTCTGAGTAAATTCCTACCTCTCAATACTGGCATTAATTGTGAATGTGGGAAGGTTTAAAATAAATTCTGAAATACATTATGTCACTTCAACACAAGGCATAAACATGACTTCCATATGACAAATGCTAACCTCACTATTTACCAAAAAGGTGCTTACTACACATGAACCAAGTTATTCAATACCCTTCCTTCCAACATTAAACATTTTAATCAAGACACATATCATGATGATACAAAAGTATTTAAGCCACAATTGAAAATGTATCTTTTATCTCACTCCTACGCTGTATAACAATTTATGTCAAATGAAAACTCTTAAATATTGTAAATATTTATGTAAATAACTATGCTTTTATATTTTAACCAATATTTTATTTGTATTACTATTAAATGCTGTATTCACTTTATTATGACTTGTTTCACATCCTTGGCTTGTCCTATAATGAATCTGTGAAATGTAAATAATTTCTGTTCTGTGAGATTTCTGGTTCTCATGGTAGCAAGTATAAAGTTGGCCATATTCCAGGTTGTTGCGACGAGTAGTCTTGTAGAAGTTTACCAATGTTTCAGAGACAAGAAACACCATACTATACAATGCAACAACCAACAAGGAAGTCTTCTCAAAATTCTATTCCATTATCACATATAATCAGCTATCTTCCAACTTAACCTAGTATTGGTACAGAATGTAACAATATAGAAACTTCCATTTGTGTCATAAGATGTTCCTCTATATCTCAGAATGCTTTGTCTCAATCACAACATATTTCATAATTAGTATAGTCTTCTTAGACAGGATAGGCAAAGGAAGAAGTCTATGGAAAAATCTTACCAGAAGAAGAGATAGGATGGTGGGACACATTCTGAGGCACCCAGGATTGGTTAATTTGGTATTGGAAGGAGCAGTTGAAGGGAAATATTGTAGGGGAAGACAAAGATTGGAATATGTGACGCAGATTTTTGAGGATGTGGGCTGTAAAAAATATGTGGAAATGAAGAGATTGGCACAAGATAGGCGAAAATGGAGGACCGCATCAAACCAGTCGAAAGACTGACGACAAACATAAAAAACCATTCATTACTAACCAATAAAATCAGTACTTTTACGAATACCAAAATAAACACATGAAAGTGATCTTCAAATAAGCAGTTTTAAATATATGGAATCATTGCACCGTATAAAACGGGCCAAACATATTTAACACTTCCATAAAATTGAGGATTATGGCTTTCCTCTTGAATCAGTCACTTAACTGAAACCAAATTTATAATGACAGACCGTCTTTGTGGCAGAGTAATTCCCACTCCTCAAACATCGCCCCACAGACCAACATGCGGTTCATTATCGTTCTCTTTGGTCTCTCCAAGCAAATGCCAGAAATGTACCTTAAATTAGGCAATGACCTTTCCAATAAACTGTTCAATAATCACACCAACATTCCACACTATACAAAGCAAGTAACTGAAATCCTTATTACATAAAACCAGTAAATAACAATCATGACTGGACTGCTTTTGTATTATTCTTATGCAATGCTTAGAAACATATATATGTATAAGTAACATGGAAATTAACTGACAGATAATTATATGCTTTGGGGTTCATTCCGTTCAGGCTCCTTTATAACAAATCCATAAAGAAAAACTTACTTAACTCGTCTGCAGCATTAGCCATTTTCACACGACAAACTATTCTTCGTGAACAAGATAAAAAACAAATATCAATACCAACATCAATGCCACAGATGGTATTAAACGCTAACTGCTGTAAGTTGGTTGCAATGGCCACATATGGTGACTATGCAAATACTCTGCAAAACAATCTGCCGGTAGCAAACAGTACTAATCCATGAAACTATGAAACCCTCTGGATCTGATTCCTTGCAAGACATTTTAGTGCAAAGGAGAGCTCAGTAGATAACAAGTTAGGTACTGTACGCACAGCATAGAAGCATAAGCGTTTTCTTTGTTCTCAGCCCTCCTGTAAAGAACAGAGAAGGGGCTGTGCTGACGAGCGAAGACCATCAAAAAACATTTGATCGAAAACAGCTCAAAAGTTTTTCACTTTTGAAATTAAAATATTAGGGTCCATCTAGTTTCTTTTAATATCCCATGTACAACCTGTCAGTTAACTTGTTACACGTGAAATTTCAAGTTCTCACGGTGGCGATGAGCCGGGTCCCCAGATGATGGAGGTCGGTCAATTTATGCCAGACTAAATGACACAAGAGCCCATAACACAGTCGTCTTGAGACATATTTCATAGCAGAGGGAGTTGGTAGCAGTGCAGACCATACTTCATTTGTTTCTCCGTATTGCAATTTAAACGTTGCACTGAACGTTTAAAGTCTCACATATTTAACATTTAAATCCGTTTAAGAAAGCTAAACTGAAACACGCAATGTGTTATTGCAAACCTATGAATAACAATGGCGAGTCTCTCAATAGAAAACAGCATTGTTGTGTTCCCCTACCATTCCAAACAAACTGCTTTCCGTTTCTATAGTAATCGTTGTGATTGTTATTCACCAAACATGGCACGAATGAGAAGGATGTTTTTCTCTATTCAAAAGCGTATTAAAAAAGTTAACCTTAAGAATTTGCGTGTTCTGAACCATGGTTTAAAGGTGGAGAGCAGGAAGCGACTACTGGCAGATCGAGTAAGTAAAAAGGAGACCGCCTTTGAATGGATGAACACACTTAGTACAATTCATTGGTTAGGTGGGTGGCCTTCGAAATGTTTCTGTAGTGGACTTTAAATATGATAGTCTTTTGTGATTTGTTATAATGCATTTGCAGGCAAGACTCGAGGCAGAAGTTGAACATTTACAAGTAGAACTAAAAGCAAAGAATTGTGTGATCAATTATAAGGAATCACAGTTGATATGTGTTGCGGCTCTAGAAGAACAGGCAGAGCAGCTGGCACAAACAATAAGGACCATGATGTCAGAGGATGAAAGAATCAGAAAGCAATTCCAATATCTTTCTATGAGACTGGAAGCCAACGAAAATGAAATAGAGGTTTTGCAGTCAGGAGTTGCCGAATTGAAAGACCTACTGTTAAGAACACATGCCATTCTCAAGAACAAGGAATTGAGAATTAAACTGCTTGAAGAAGCACAGAATGAAATGGCTAGTAAGGATTGTGAGCTGCGTGTCTACGAAGAGGAGATGCATGGCCTGATCAGGAAGCTTGTCAAAGCTGAGGAGATGGTGGCAACTAAAGACAAATTAATAGAACGTCTTTTATATAACTTAAATGTGGTGTTTGAACACAATAATGACCTCATAAATCATTACTTCCAAGTCTGTGACAGACTTGAGGTTCTTGAGGCCCAGCATTGTCATAAAGAGAAGATCAGGTGTAGTAAAGGCACGAGTTTCGCTTCAACTAATGCAGATCATGGACGCAATGCTGAGGACAATTTATTGGCGAAACGGCTACCTAGCTATGTCTACACTAGAAGAACTCTGAAGGAATACAGGTGATCATTCCTATGTCTTCACTAGACGAACTCTGAAGGAATACAGGTGATCATTCTGTGTACACAGTTCTATAGGTTAATAAATTATACGAAAATTCTTGCCATATTTGTCAGGATGTGTTGTTTTTGAAATGTAGGCCTGTTTTAAGTACCATCATGTCTAAATGGCTCTATAACATACAGAGACCTAGGAGTAGCCCAGTTCTGAGTACATTCATGTGTTTCCTTTAACTCCATTTAAGAACTGAGCAAGCAGTTCACTTTGAAATGTTCAAACCACAGACATTCACGTGGTTGTCTTTGCTTTCCTCTTTGCATGAAATATTCCCTGCCCATTTCATTATTGATTTCATTTCTCTAATAATTTGAGGCAAGTTTTAATAAACCTTCCTGATATGTAATTTACCGCTTTCTTCTGTTACTTCATGTGTCTTGGGCCTTGTCACTATCATGCAGAATGAATCAAACATTGAATACCATCAGGAATTTTGAATTATTTCTCTTAATTTATGTGTGTACAGTTTGAGTTTTATTAACTATACATTTATGTCTTGAATCTTTCACAGTGATGACCCAAATGGTCCTCAAGGGAATGAACAGGAAGCTGAGCAAGCCCACAGTAATCAGCCCATCAACGCACCCAGTGTCGCCAGAGGTGAGTGGCCGATTTTTTATAATTTTTGGTTGCTTGCTCTAAAGACACGAGGCAGTAAACTGTTGGCTCTTGAAGGACAGACAAAGATGTTTGAAAAAGGATCATTTGACTGCGGGTGTAAAGAGAACAGGTGTCAGTGGTGCAGATCGTGAACCCGTTGATTTATTTATTTATGGTTTAAGTAACGAGACTGTCGATAGCTCAGAGTATGTACGATTGACGAGATACATGTTGTTACAGACTTAGTACGATTTGAGGTTTTCACGACGCTACTACCCAGAAGAGAGCCATCTATGTTTATGACCTTGCTAGAAATTCATGAACACTCAAAAAGCGCTCTGACATTTGATACTCTGTGATCAGAATGTATCTCTGCACGGAGGAAGGGAGAACAAGTGAGCCTCGATTATTTTAGTCATTCACGTGTACTAAGGATTCTCTGCCTCACGTCATTCTGTACTTGTGGTAATTTGTTGCAGCTGAACCTTCCCAGTACCACACTGCAACTTTGGATGACTTCAAGAACCTGAGAGATCTAGGAAGCGGTGGTAAGTAAAACTTCAAGTTCGTGCTTTGGTCTGCATTTCCTTGCATAAAACACATGGGACTGATATTTTAACCCCTCTAGATTGATGGGTTACATAGGGCAGAGTCATGCAACCAGAGACACTTTGAGTTTTTCAGATTTTCTTGTGTTGCAAATATGAAAGGATAAGAAGGACCAAAATAATACAACACGGATCCATGTTGCCAATTAATGAAATCCTTTTGTCATGAAAGTATTATATTACGCAAGCTCCCGTACAGAATTCTGATCTTTATGAATGGGAATCGGCAAATCCCAGAGCCCTCTGTTCACTGAACGTTGACATGAAATGTAACTTGGTGCTGTTACAGGCTATGGAGCGGTGTTCCTGGTGGAAAAGAATGGTGGCATTGATCACAGAAGATTATATGCCATGAAGACATTGCAGAAGAAGGAGATCTTTGAGACATTGAAGGGTCCTGAAATGTTTATAACCGAATGTTTGGTACATGAGAAGGCTCGTGGCTCACCATTCCTAGTGAAACTGTACTACAGGTTCTGCACAAATGAAACGATCTACCTCTTACTGGGTAAGTATATCAACGACTATTACCGATTCCAGGATGTCTAAGAGGCGAAATGACCATTCCAGGGATTGGGAGTGTCATTCAGTGAATTGGGTGAAGGCGGAAACAGCTTGTATCATGCTCGTAAGATTCTTTTACACGCCGTAAACCTACGACGCGGGGCCGCCGGCTTTAGTTCCCCTCAGAAGGAAGTTGTGCTTCCGATTTTGATCTCCCTTCAAAATCCATCGACCTCGTCCGGGATTTAACCCGCGACCCTTGGGTCAAGTAGCGAGCACTCCAACCACTAGTATTTATTCATTATTATCCTTAGAGTAACAAGGTCTCTGTTATTGTTCCAGAATATTATCCAGGTGGGGACATGCTGGACTTGTTAATGCAGTTGGACACAATTTCAGAAGACGAGGCAAGGGTGTACCTGGCCGAAGTAATCCTAGCCATAGAGCATCTCCATCGGGTAGGCATACTGTTGCACTGTAGTTATCTCTAGTAAAATGCATGTTACGTTGGTGTAAAACCTAAAATTACTTAATTGATTGTGTGAAAATTTGTTTCTTTCAGATTGGTATAATACACCGGGACATCAAGCCAGAAAATATATTGATCGATGCTCGAGGTCATATCGCTGTCACGGACTACGGACTGTGTAAACAAATGATCTATGCAAAGGTAAATGTGATATCCATCTTATCTTTTTCTGAGTTTCTGTACAGACCACAGGCTGGAAAAGTAAGAGCTACGTGGACGGCTGTCATTTTGTACTCTTTATTTGAGGGAAGTCTAGGTACGACAAGGATAAAAGGGTGGGGAGGTTTCATGTGCTTGAAATTGGACCACAATTTAAGAGAAAGTGAAACTGAAGGATGTCAGAAATTTTAAGATTTAGAGGGGTGTGGACTGTGTCCAGTGGTCGTCATCAGTATTAGCCATGCTCACCGTTCTGTTTCTGAAAACAGAATGTTAGTTTCTACTTTCCCAGAATCTCAAACTGCTATCACAGTCATTTAAAAGGTTTTTGTATTAACAGGCTGACCGTACGGACTCATTCTGTGGGACGAAAGCATATATGGCACCTGAGATGGTCACCAGTGGAGGTCATGGCATGGTAAGTACCTGCTCCAAACAAGAAAATAGCTCCAAGAATCTATTTGTGCTGCTTCATCCTCAAATAGAGTGGGGGGGAATAGTCATCACCAAATTCCATTCTTCAAGGCCATCGAAGGACTTGATACCCATTACTGTGCAGCTTGCGAGTTCTGAGCTGTTTCCGTTGCAAAATTATGCGATTTTGCCGTAACAAACATTTAAATGACTTGCCGTAGAATCAGCTCAAAACCTATGAACCAAAAGCAGAAAACCATAGGAGCTTTTTAACTGAACATTGGAAAAATTCTCCTCTTGGCTTCACCGTGCCTGTCTGCCCACATGTAATATTTTGAAGATCTCTGAATTTATTGTGAAGATATTAGTTAATTATCCCACTTCAACTGGTGATGTCATTTAATGTCAAATGAAACTATAGTATGATTATATATGTGGATTGGGAATAGCAGTTAGCGAAGTTATTTTGTGGTTCAGAACCGGAATTCGCAAGGGAACTCGGCACATTCTCTGTCCGTCTCTGTTGAGTATGTGAAACACATAAATGAACAAAGAATAATTGTCGTATATAGGTACGTTCCATATAAATCTGGTGGCAGGAAATGAACAGCTCAGTTTGTAACACAAATTTTCTGTTTGTGCCTGGAGACCTCCGTGAAAATATGTGATATTTTGATGAAATGAAAATGATTGCCCTTAATTTTACTTGTTGCAGGAAGTGGACTGGTGGGCTGTAGGCATATTGGCATATGAGATGTTGGCTGGACGCACACCATTTGTAATTCAAGGAGAAGAAGAAGAAGAAGACAAAAAAAAGATATCCCTGATGGTGTAAGTCAATAGTGTTTGTAACGAGATCTGAACTTGATGTTCCTTCGAAGAGAGTTCTGTTCCTGAATGACTGTCCATTGTAATGACAGTACATTAGGTTCACATGTTTGAAACCTTTGCACATTTAACCTGACGAAAAGAAAGAAAATGCATTCACAACCATAAGGGCAGCCATAAGAGAGGAGGTTTGTGCAGGACATCAGTTAAATGTAAGGGACAGGGAAGGAAAGGGTTCCAGAGGCTGAGAAATGTAACATCCTTAACATGTTTATCATGAACAGTTTTTTCTCTATCTTGTTTGATCTACCTCGGAGATCTCCACGCCTTTTTATATTTCTCTGAGAGTCTGAATGCATGTATAACAACTTTGTTCTTATTGACAAATATAAGAATGGATCTGTCTTTTACAGACGAATTTGTTCTGAAGATCCAGTCATCCCAGATGAATTTTTGCCAGACGTGGCACATTTGGTAACAAGATTGCTAGAGAAAGACCCGCAAAAACGTTTAGGCGCAGGGAATGAGGGTGCTGCGGCCATCAAGAGGCATCAATTCTTCCACGTGAGTT